GAGAGAGAGGGAGGGAGGGGGAGGGGGAGGGGGATCCACACATGACAAAACCCTCAGCAAACGGCAGCCAATCAAACAATCCAATCAAAAAAAAAAGGATAAAAAATAAAATAAAATAAAATTTAAATAAAAAAAAAAAAAGAAAAAAGAAAAAAAAATGTATAATTTTATTTATGTATCGCATAAATATATAAATATATAAAACTGTCAACTTTCCTTTCAATAGAACGTGTCTTCCGCTTCTTTCCTTTCATGCCTTCTTTCCAAATGCAAAACCAAAAAAAAAAAAAAATCCTCCACTTAAAAAAAAAAAAAAAAGAAAAGAAAAGAAAGAAAAGAGAGGAAACAACATCCAGATGCAAAGTGTAAAAGTGTTTTGGGCACAACAGGCCCAAATAAAAAAGAAGGAAAAAAAAAAAAGAGCAACGGCGCTCCTTCTCTCTCCCTCCCAATACATACCAATGTATACTCCCCAGTGAACACACAGTCAGCCACACAACCAGAGACAGACACAAATAGAGAGACGGAGGAACAGTGAAGGAAAAAGAAGTGCCTCTACAACACTGTCATTTTCTTCTCGTATACATTTAAGAAAAGACAGCAATTTCAACAACAACAACAACAACACACACACAAAAAAAGACAAAGTCAAGCCAAAGTTTAAATACACGGTGAAATAATTATAATGAGACAACCAACGCATGCCAAAACAAGCACATCCTTATAAAACACGTTTTTTTATTTATTTTTTATTTTTTGCTTCCAGTGTTAATAATATTTTATTTATTATTATTTTTTTTTCGTTTTTCTTCCCCTCTCGTCTTTATTCCATGTACCACAATTTCTCTCTCTCCCTCTCCCCCTCTCTCTCTGTCCCTTCCTTCTCTTTATGTATATAATATGTATATGTAAGCACACAAGAAGCAGAAAAAAAATTCCCCGTAACAAAGTTGATCATCATGATAATAATAATAATAATAATACACTCCAGAAGAAACAGACACGCACACACAAGTGAAAAAAAAAAAAAAAAAAAGGGGGTGCTCGAACGGAGACAGGACGTATAATATATAATATATAATATATAATATATATATATATATATATATATATATATATTTATTTATTTATATAAAAACAACAGCGACGCCGTTAAAAAAAAAAAACAACAAAAACAGAAAACAAAAGTAAAGAAAATCAAAGAGCATGTAAGCGCAGGGGGGGGGGGGGGGGGGAA